AAAAAATTCAGCTAAAGTCTCATTAATCTTAGATAAATTCAATAATAATAACTAATTATATTTCTATAATAATATTATCAGAAATCCCAAAAAAACGTTATTTGAAAAATCTGATATAAAATGTGCATTTTTATAATTTAGGTTATTTTGAGATAAATATTTTATATTTCTGGGTTAGTCAAAGATATTATTCATTGCACAAATCCAACAATATTTTTAAGTCTTCTTGTTCAAAGAGAGATGAAATAGCAAGATCATTGATAAGGTCAGCGATCCTTACTAATAAGAATAATTATATATTTAAAGAATGTTATGAATTTTTCTTAGGCAAATATTTTTTTTACTCACCTCTCATTTGTAGAATTTCTTGATCCATGTTGGTCATAGAATTCTCAAGAATATTAAGATCATGCTTATTTTCAAATTCTAATTCATACATTCTTTCAAGCGCTTTTTATCGAGTAATGGTAAAATTAATCAATCCATTGCAAAGTAATAAAATATCGAGCAAATGTCTCTTACATTCTTCTAAAGTACACTATTATCGATTGTATTGTTAGAATTTGCATATAATAATATACTAAGAATTACTTACATCAGGTAAATCCAATGCATCAATTTCTTCCACTGCATCTAATTTAAAAAATTCATTTTCATGTTTCCATTATATACAAGAGAATTTCTTTAATTCTTTTGATAGTATACCTTCAAATGTCATTTCCTCTAACTCTTTATGAATCTGCTTATCAATTGTATCTTCACTGTAATTTGCGTCAAAATCCGACGGCTCAGAATCTCGCATACTTTTATCATTCTCGTATGTATCTTTAACTTGCCATAAACTATCGTTGTAATTTTGCTGGTGATTCTTTGATAAGTTTTCTATCGATAGACTCTGTGAGCTTAAATTTCGAGCAATTTCAATACTTGCATCTATTTGTCGGAATCCGTGAGCTTCAACCTTTTTTACTTTCTCGTTTGATCTTTCATTTCCTTCTTTTTTCTCGCTATCAGCGGACTCAGGAACTTTAAAACCGATAGGCAAAGTATTAATGCTAACTCCAGATTCTTGGGCAGCTTCAGTTCCGTGGATAGTACCCGTCATTTGCTGTTCACGCCATTCGGCAAGTTTTTTAGGGGTCAGTTTTAAGTGGTTAGCTCGAACATTTCTGGTATTAAAAAACATTTTTATTTCCCGTTTAAAAAAATAAATATAATCAATTGTTTTTGTTATACGAATTATAATTATTATTTACTGTAGAAAATAATGTACTGATAAGTTATAATAGGCTGATTTATC